TAAATAGTATGCGCTAAGGGTTGAACGCGATCCTTCTTTCCTCGCATAGGTGCCAGTCGATTATCCCAGCTGGTCTTTCAGTCGATGTTGAGGTGGCACAGTGGCCGGCCGAGCTAGACAGTCCCTCTGCGCCTGCCAATACAACACATCAGAATTTCATTAAAAGGGATCAGGTGGCTCGGATTGCACATTAGTGACAGTGCTACAGAAACCATATAAGGAGGAGCCAAAGTAAACGCTTCCAATTTATGCAAGGGATAACACTTCCGTGTCTGGAGTGGGCGGTGTGAGCTCTATTCGTGTCTAAAGCATGTGCTGATGAGGTAGTTTGTACGGCAGTGTTTTACCGAAGGTTTTTGTGGCTGCGCATGTGGCCTTGTAGGTCCACGCGGTGTGTATGGAGTGTGGCCAGTTGAGGAAAGTATGCTGGGTGCATGCTGGTGCACCTCTGTCAGATGGAGTCTAAAGTGATCAAATGAGCCTTTACGTGATTGGCATGTTCGACGGAAGTGTGGACAGGATAGTTGGGGTCCCTGAGTCGATTGCGGTGTTGATGTAGCTGGTGTTCGTTGTGCTGATGGAGGGGAGTTGATATAGCTGTATATGGGAGAGTTTTCAAGATGTACTTGGCGTGTCAATTTTGCAATGCATTTCGCTGTCATAGCTACGCATGTGGCAGAAGAGTCCCGTGCAGTGAATGAATTTGCGTGGAGAGTGCGGATAGTGGAGTTGGATGCGGCGAGTGAATGCTGGAGTTTCTAGCACTGGTGCGCCGATGTCGGCGCGAAAGATTTGCAAGTGAGTGATCAGGCCGATGCATGGGACTAAGTTGCGATCGCAACGGGCATAAGTTGGGTTGTAGAGCACTTTTCTGTTGGCGAGGGTACTGGTTGATGGGACATCGCAAATGTTCTCAACGGTGGCGTGACTTGGATAGTTGGTAGTCTTCGTCACGCGGGGTGGTAGCTGGCATTATGAAGGTGCTGGGAATCGAAGAAGTTGATGTTGGCGCGTTCGAAGGATAATCGCCGGCGGTGCAAGGGGGACGATGGGGAGGTTTGTATAGACAGCAGGTGAAGTTGTTGGGTTGTTGTTACGTCGGTTCCGGAAATGGCTCACGAAGCTGATCTGTGAACACATTATTACCAACGTGGGCAAAGCTGGGTGTTGACGTGGTGGGTCGGAGGTACTTGAGACTTGCAAGCCGTTCTGTTGGCTTTGAATAGGATGATCCAGTCCCTTTCATGACTTGCTGTTCCGGTCTTCACACTTCTTCTCCTGACCAGTCGAAACTGGACTAGGTCCTCCCAGGTTTCCGGACTAATTTGTAAGTACTCTGGAGAGTTTTCGGCGTGTCTTTGTAACGTCTCTTTGTCCTCCTTGTCGGGGAGTACCATTAAAAAAACCGTCATCAAAGCCAGCTGAATAAGCCCCCACCATCGGTCCACGTGAACTGGCCTCTCTACCGCAGTCGAATGCCCCTCAGCAGGGCGTGAATACTGAGAACTCCACTTCTTTCAAGGAATTCGGTGCCCGTAATCCTGCCCTGTCATTTCAGCCTCGGTATTCCTTGGAGGCAGCTGGAGTGGAATTGATTTGATGACAGAGTTAGTTCCTCGAAGAGGCATGCGCAAGCTCATAAGGCGGTTGCGGATGCCGTACGATAGACAGGACAGTCCTCGCACGATATCATTCCGGCTGGCAAAGTTGGCACCAGCGTTCCATTGCTCTTCTTTCGGCTGCTGCAGAAGGAGGTGTGACCAGCACATACCTCTAGCCGATCCCCTTTAGATAATCGGGCCTCTAAGAACAGCAATGCCCACCTTGTCTCGCGCCAGTCCTGCAGCGATAAGCATCCTTGTTTCCAGCCGGTTACCGGTTACAAAAGAATGCACATTCCAGGTTGCCAAAACAATTTGGGTCACTCTATCAATCTTGGGGTGGAAAAGAGGTGACGGGAA